ATAGAGAAGCCAAAGCACAAGGAAGAATTCAAGATACTAAAGAGCTGAACAGAAGATTCCAAAAGGCAGCACGGAATGACAAAGCAAAATATTACCTGGGAGATAGATGAGACTATTTAATTCTGTAAAAACTGTAGCCTTGGAATTTCTGGGACAATCCTATTCTGTCTTATAGGATCGGTGAGTAAGAAATGACTCAGCATCAGTGAGTTCTAAAGTACCAGTCAAAGGTCGGACAGTTGGACCTACCACGTGCTCTACAGGAGGAGAGACCCAAAAATCTGTTCCTGTAAACACTTCATCCTAAAAAATCCTAAGGTGTAGTTCTACTTTGCCCTACAAGCTCACTATTATTAGTAGAGATTGACTCAATGCCATATAATAACTGCATATGGGAAGGAATTGGTATCTAAGGGACAGAGACCAAGGGTATTGCTAAACATTCCACAATGCACAGGAATGTCCCTCACAGCAAAGAATTGCTCAGCTCCAAAATGGCAACAATACTCAAGTTGAGAAAGCCTGATATTAATGCAATGAATGCTTCTGTCAACTTCATGATATCACATGACTTAAAATAAGATAAAAATGAATTGTGTCATAACAAGATGTTTATCTGAAGCAGTGGTGTTTATTCTCACACAGAAAATAACCTGAGATTAAAAACAAGGGCTACAAATACCTAGTCATAAGCACAAAGAGATTCCATTTCAAATGAACCAGAGTGTGGCCCAGCACTGCTAATTTTCAAGAGTCCTGTTGTTAAGTGCCATCAAACTGAGTATAATTTGTAGCAACCCCATGACCAACAAATCTGAACTGTGCCATTCTATGTCATCTTCATCACCTCTGACACATGTGAGCCCAGTGTTCATGTCAATCCACCTTGTTGACGGTCTTCCTCTCTTTTGTTGAAAAGACTCAAGTAATTCTAATACACAAGCCAAGTCTGAAAAACACTGATCTAACACTGAGAGCAACATGCTTGAGATAGTATGTCATTTCCAGAAAATTCTGTTCATGATCCTGTCCAAGGATCTTCCAAGCAAAAAGAAGCTTGGACTACAACTAATGCTTGCTTCCACTACTCTTCAGGATTTGGGGTGGGTTTTTGTTTTTTGGGTTTTTTTTTTAATTATTAATGTCAATAAAAATTTACAGAGACTTTGGATTTCCATTCATTCATTGTTCCCCACCCACCTCTCCCCTCCAGTACACTCCCCTCTTTGAAAAGTAAAAGAAAAATTCTTTCATTGTTTTACAATCTCTTCCCCCAGGTCCACCCCACTATGCAGCCTCGGTTCCAGACTCCTGTTATGACAAAAATACCTAATCACAAATCCCTTTAAAACAGTTTTCTCCCTCATCTGTTTCAATGCAGTATACATTATTTATCCCATCTTTCTCAGTCTACCCCCACCCTGATGTCAGTCCTGTTTTACAACAGTGGCACCATGCACTATTTATCCTTTTGTGACTGAGATACTTCACTCAACATAATGTCCTCCAGGGTCACCCATTATGAATAATACTGCATTAGTTCCTTGTTTTTCAAAGAAGCATAGCAGTCCATTGTGTGAATATATCACAGCTTCTCTATCCATCCGTTTGTTGATGGGACTTAGGTTGTTTCCAACTCCTTGCTATTATGAACAAAGCCGTAATAAACATCGATGTGCATGTATCTGCTTGGATATCAATTATGTTCTCTTTGGGATATATTCCCAGTGGTGGAATTGCTGGGTCAAATAGTATCTCTATTTGCAACTTTTTGAGAAAGCACCACACCACCTTCCATAATGGTTGCACCATTTTACACTCCCACCAACAGTGAGTAAGGGTTCGAGTTTCTCCACAACCTCACCAGCATTTGCTGCTTGCTGTTTTGTTAAATTTTGCTATTCTTACAGGGGTGAGATGATATCTCATAGTTGTTTTAGTTTGCATCTCTCCTAGAGATAGGGATTTTGAACATTTATTCATGTGCTTGTTGGCCATCTGAATGTCTTTGGTGAAATGTCTGCTCATATCTAGTGCCCATTTTTCAACTGGATTATTTACCTTTATCTTGTTGTGGTGCACTCTTTAGAATTCGTAAGTAATATTTTAAAACCTTGACATTTTTCTAGCATTTTATCAGTTTTCTAGGAGATTTGGTCATATTGACACAATACATTAAGAGATACAGTGTAACTTGACATCATTTAAAAAGTAAAAAAGAGACTTATCAAGTTGAACAGACCAACTCTTTTTCTATATTACGAAAGTTTAAGCCACCAGGGGGAAAGGAAATAAGGTCCTTAATTCAGTATTATCTTCCCTTCATGAGTAAAAGTGCAAATGAGTATATCACCCTTTTTAAAACAAAAGCTAAATCTACATGCATACATTTCAGCATATCATACTACTATAATCACCCTAAAACACGTAAACAGAATTTAAAAGACTGTTTCCTACCTGGTAAAGTCTGGTGGGACAGGAGTGGTAACAAAAGATGCCATTGGCTTTCGATGGACTTGCTGAAACATCATGAGGATTTCTGAGCTCTTAGATATCAGCTCGCTCTTACTGCAAGACCGTAACTATGTAAAGGGGGAAAAAAATTACCTGATAAATAAACTTGAACAATCTTAATAATGAAGGAAAATAAAAATTTTTCTGGATATAATTAATTTCCTTCATAATTAATTAGAATATATTCTGGTCATATATTGTAATTAAAAAACAATGAGATAAAGAAATGAAAGAATTCTCCAGTGGATTTGAGAACTGAAAATCTAAATTTATTTCCACTGTAAAATAAATACATTATGCGTGATTTTAGCACATTTTTTCTCATATCAGGAAAAGTGACATTTTAAGTAGCTGCAGCTAAATGCTCAGACTGGTAAAGTTACACAAGGTGAAAGGCTTCAAGTGTTTCTCAAACTGCATTTAAATAAATTATAGTTGGCATCAATGATGGAGAAACATAAATTATAGATGGCATCAACAGTTAAGATGTATCCCATTTCAGAGACAGCATAATGTAACAAAATATGTATCTAAGAAATTAAGACTCAAGATTTTAATTTAGTACTTTTCATTTAATAAATTTCCACAAAAGTTATAAACAACTTTTAAAACAGTTATTCATTTCAAAAACCCAAATTCATTGCACTGAGTCTGAATGGACTCACAGCTGACACACCAGCAGGTTTCTGGGGCTATAAACCACACAGGAGGATATAACGTATCTCTCTCTCAAAGACTTGCTTATGGATTTGAAGCGTCAGCACACCACCAAAGCTTCAACCTGATTTACTCACACTGCTTACTAGTAGTTAGAACCAACCTATAGCTGACTCTCCAGGGTTTTCAAAGGCAGTAAACTACATAAAGACTGCCTATCTTTCTCCCATGAGCACCATTCCTTGATATCTTAATTTTTGTAACCACTGGAAGAGATTTCTTTCCAACTAAATTCTTAGCTGGCTAAGTGCAGAAATTATCAAACAATATCATTAAGCAAGCAAGATTCTGCTGAAAACTGTCCAAAAACAGCTGGAACAGCACATCAACACAGAACTGCTAGATGTGCAGGATGGGTTCAGAAGAGGCTTTGGGACTAGAAATATTATAGCTAATGTCAGATGGATCTTGGCTGAAAGCAGAGAGTACCAGAGGAATGTCTATGTTTCACTGACTATGCAATGGTGTCTGACTGTGTGGATCACAATAAACTGTGGCTAACTCTGAGAAGGATGGGAATCCCAGAACATTTGATTGTGCTTATATGAAACTTATACATGGACCAGGAGGCAGTCGTCAGAACAGAGCAAGGAAACACTACATGGTTTAAAATCAGGAAGGGTGTCCACCAGAGATGTGTCCTATGTCCATAACTTTTCAAACTATATACAGAATAGATTATCTGGGAGCCTGGGCTGTATGAGGAGGAGTGTGGCATTAGGATTGGAGGTAGACTCATCAACAATCTGTGTTATGCATATGACACAATCCTGCTAGCTGAAACTGAGGAGGACCTGAAGTGCTTGCTGCAGAAGGTCAAGGATTGCAGCCTTCAATGCAAATTGAAGCTCAACATCAACAAAACAAAGATTTTCACCACTGGGCAGACTAGCAGCATTATGATAGACAGTGAAGAGATTCACATTGTTAACAACTTTAGTTTGCTCAGCTCCACAATCAACACCCTTGGTGCTAGCAGCTATGAAATCAAATGACGAATTGCACTGGGAAAATCTGCTGTCAGGGACCTCTCCAGAGTACTGAAGAACAATGATGTCAGTCTGGAGACTAAGATGTACCTGATCCAGGCCATAGTCTTCACAATTATTTGCTATGCGTCAGAGAGCTGGACATTGACTAGGGATGACAGAAGGACAATTGATGCCTTTGAGCTGTGGTACTGAAGAAGAGAACTGAATATGCCATGGACTGCCAGAAGAACAAACAGGTTCATCCTGGAAAGGGTGAAACCAGGCTGCTTCTTGGAGACAAAGATTCTGAAACTCCATCTGACATACTCTGGACATGATGCAAGGAGTGATGAGTCCTCGGAGAGGGATATCATGCTTGGGGGAGTGGAGGGACTGCGCAACTGAGGAAGACTATTGATGAGATGAATTGAATTAGTGACTACGGTAATAGGGATAGGTGTGTCAGAGATAATAAGGTTGGCTCAGGATAGAGCAGGGTTTAGAACTGTTGTACACAGAGTTGCTCTGAGTTGCAAATGACTCAACGGCACATAACAAGAAGTGACGAAAAGTAAATGAGGAGAAGAAAGTACAAGGAGTGTGAGAATATACAAAGAAAAATAAGGCAATTTTTCAAGATAATAGCTATGCTTACAAGCTTGACTGTGGTGACAGTCAAAGCTTGTTTAAATATTACAACTTTAAAGGCATGAAACTTATTTTGTGGTGATTCTAACTAACTAAAAGAGCCCCAGTAGTACAGTACACAACTGAATATAGTTTAGATACACCAGCCACTCTGTAAGAGATAGTGGCAACTTGTTTCTGTAAAGATTTACAGCCCTGGAAACCTATGGGGCAGTTCTTTTGTCCTATAGAGTCATTATGACATAGAAGTGGGTATGCCTAAATAAAGCTAGTAAATACATACACACACCCCTCCACATCCTTCCTGTTACTCAACCACAGCTGCCCTCTCGTTGCAGCAGAAGGGTGTACACTCATTCTCTGGAAGGAACGAAGGAAGTAGCACTGGACTAGGGAAAAACGGCATGACTGAATGTGAGGGTAAGTGGAGTTCTGAAAACAAAAAAATTTAAGTAAATCTTCAAGTACTGAGAGCCATTCCAGCCAAACTGTAAATCAAATACAAAGGCACGGAAAAAGGTATTTTCAAATATCCAGTCTCAAAAATTTCTACGTCTCTTCCTGAAAAGCTATTAGAGGAAGTGTAATACCAAAACAAAGCCATAAACGAAGAGTATTAAAGTGTAGACATCAAATATGAGATTCAACCCAGGAAATATGTGAAGAAATCCCCAGGAGGACAATTAAAAAAAGAGATCACAATAGAAAAATGTAAATTAAGGAAAAAGAGAAATAAAAAAAATTCTAAAACACAAATCCAACAGTTTTAGGAGTCACTAAATAATTATTTACTACATGCTTTCTTTCCACCACAATCTAGAATATCCTGTATGAGTTCAATTTTCTTTTTATTCAAACTACTTGTAAGATTTGTTAATTATTAGAGAATTATTTAATAAATAAAAATCTTAAAATTATCCCCTAAGGATCACCACATAAAATTAACTAGCAATAATACTCAGAATCATCATGTTAAAGTCGTATGTAAGGTGTTCCGTTCGCTTTGTGGTTTTTGTTTTGTTTTTAACAAATTTACAGATTTTATGGGTCATTAAAATAATTTATTTTTACAAAGTGATTGAAATTGCATCAATTTATCTAGTTTCCAAACATGAAAGGGAGACAAGTTGAGATAAACCATTTGATTTTTCACAAAAAATCCCACTGTACCTTACATAAAGAATTAACAAAATATACTTTTGAGAGAAATAGAAAAAAAATGGATATGGATAAAGGTGATTTCATTTTCTTTAATATATTATTACCTGATGCTCCACCTCCTGAAGCAAGGATTCCAACAGCTCTGTTTCTTGTGTTAGAGATGTCTTCTGACCTGTAAAAACAGCAGTTTTTTAGAGGTGATCACTCATATAAGAGAAAACTGTCCATCTTTCCCCTGGACAGCAGATGGTGGATTTGCACCACCTGCATTGGGATTGACAGCACAACTTCTTACTCACTGGGCCATCAGATCTCCCTACTATGTATGGTTTTAAGAACTTAAAGGATTCTCAAGCAACATGCCAAATTCTGGGGGGAAAAGAAAATCATCCAAAATGTATGACTAATTGTAACTAAAGCCTAAGAACAATTATAATTTTAATGTATAAAAACTGTCAATGGGGACATGACTGGCAATATTCCAATGCCAGACAATCCTTCTGATTACTCCACTGTAGATATTAAACTATGCTGTTCAATCCAACTAAAAGGATGATTCTGGAGACCATTCGCAGGTCAATGTGTGCATTAAAAACTAAAATACAGTACTGACTTAGACAAACGATATGTGAAATAATTTAGAATACAGAAATTGAAAGCTATTTGCATCTTATCAAAGAAGAGAACAATAAAATACTATTTTCAGTGGCACAAGACATGGTTACAACCCTGAAAAATCAAGGCACCAAATAAAAAAACCATTTATTCACATTAAAGTACAACTGTTTCATCTGCTTTATAAATATTTACTCAAATCCTGGTTAAAAAAAAACAACTGAATATATTCATTTAATGTTAGATCATAATAAAAATTGCAAAGCTGGTTTTAACTCAATAAAATAAGGCATGGACTAAGAACACAAGTCAAATTCAAAGATCATACACAAATATACTTTTTCATTTAACGTTAAGCATACCCTCATGTAAATCCTATATACAACTCTAGGCTTCACAATCAAAGAGGAATGAAGAATCTTTGATGAAATAAAAAGAAAAAAAAAGGAATGTTATTAAAATATTAATAGAAGATTAAATATTAATTAAATATTATTAAAAGATTTAAAATGAGATCAAAGGGCCAAAAGACACTAAGTCTCTAAGAAAAATAAAGGGAGCAATTACCCTAGTATTTACAAATTGCAAGTTCTTCACCTTCAGTGAAGATGAACTTAGGGGGAAAAAGGTTAAAAAAAAAAGACAGTAAAATTTTTCATTTGAAAGAAGAAAGACCTCACAATGAGGCCCACTGGTTATTAATCTGGTTATGAATTTTTCCCTTCAATAGTTTTTAAGCACATGTTAGACATTAGACTGGTTTATAAAAAAATGCCGTTTGGCTACACTCAACATTTCTTCCTACCCTGGAGCAACTCACCAATCTTCACTAGTCAAAGACTGAAGCTCAGATCACCATGTACCAAGCAGCAGAGAAAACACTCACCCATTAGTGTTATAAGCTTGTTCTTTAACTGTGTGTCTAACCGTGCAATCATCATCTCAACGGCATTCCTAATTTCACGAACACGCTCATCTTTTGCATTTCTTACAGCCTCTACATTTCTTTCCTAGAAGGTAAGAATTTTAAAAATTTTTAAAGGACGCAAAGTCATTAATATTATTACTGCATTTATCCTTTAAGTCACGTGATTTCATTTCCTTTTTAAAAAACTGTTGTTGTGCGTAATGCATTGCTTAAAAAATTTCTGAGCATTAAACTTAACCAGGATAAAGGATTATTAAAAAGTAAGTAATTTAAAAATATTTTAAAATAAAGTAAATGATATTTTAACAGTTAACTAAGTCTGTTATTACAAGTATTGAATGAGGTAATACACTTACAAGATACACAAGGCAAAAAAAGAATGCCAAAGCTGCTGTATATCCTCAAAAATTCTAAGAAAAGTTCGATTTGTTAAAAAAACAGTATCTACAGTGTTTCCTACTATGCATAAAATTGCTATGAATTGGAATCAACTCAATGTCGTCTAACAACTATCATTTCAAAATACCATTTTTCCAAGACTAGTGTACAAAGACTTTCCTGACATATCACAGAAAATAAAAGCAATCTTTCCTATCTCTACTGTCATATGGAAATACAAGCAGAGAAAATTTCAACTCTAAAAAACTCTCCCCTATGGGCAAACAAAATGGACTATCAAGAGAAAACGAGGAAAAAGTTGTTAAATGAAGGCCAAGTTGAAGTCATCCAACTTGTAAGTGTCCTATTTCAAAATAGCATTATAGGTCATACATATGAATCAAAAAAAACCAACACTATTTCTGTGTGAACAGTGTTAGAAAGTAATGATTTGGAATTTGATTCCTGAAAGGAGGGAACAGAGAACATCTGTTCTTAAGTTAACGAAACAGTCATTCTGGAAACTTTAAAGAGACTGAAGTCCAAAAGTATGTTGTAGTTAGGTATCAATGAGTCAACTATGACTCATAATGATCCCATGAACTGAGATCTGAATCTTTCCCTATCCTGCAACATCCTCATCATTCTCTGACATGCTTGAGCTCACTGTTACAGAAACTAGTTACTCCACCTTGTTGAAGGTCCTTCCTCTTTCTCTGACCTGTCACCTTTCCCAGAATATTGTTTTTTTCCATGGAATGGCCTCTCCTGCCAACACGTCCAGAGTATATAAGATGAAATTTCAATTCCATTTATTACTTAACAGTCTGAAGCTTACTGCATTGTCTCATTAAAGGACCATTATAAATGATCGCTTCCTACATCAACTCACCAAAGACTGACCATGTGTTATCTGAAAAGCAGAGTGTGTCTGTCTTTCAACTCCATAAATTATTTTTTTTAAGAAATTATTTTAGGCGAGCTCTGGTGGCCTAGTGGCAGGAAACTGCACTGCAATCCCAGAGGTGCACAGTTCAAATCCACCAGATGCTCTGCTGAAGAAGGAGGAACAATCGCCTCCTGTACCAGTCCGATCCAATTTGACGGTACACACATAAAATAAATAAATAAATAAAAATTATTTTTAAAAAAATAATAAATTATTTTAACCATTTCAATTCTGGACATTAAAAATAGCTCCTTTCTTGGCAACAGAAACTTAGTTCAAAGAATGAAAAGGTACGAAGAATGACTCTATAAAACTTGGAATTCGTTATCTTTATGAGTTAATTACTGATTTCGTTATCTCAAAATGTCACTTTAAAGGCTAGAGCTTTAGGTACAAATTCTTCAGCTAATGTGAAGTTAATAGGAGAACAATAAATGTATCCATTACTATTTTCAAACTTTGATTTAAACATCTGATTTATACTACAGAACACACATATTATATCACAAACACAAAAAGCATGACCTCTTAGAAGTAGTCTTACCACTTCCTGGACTAAGCTGATCAATTCCATGAGACGCCGACGAAGTTTGGCTACTTCTTCATTCACTTTAGTGACATGCTGCTCATAAATTTCTGCCAAAGGTTTAAAAGTATGCCCACCATGCTGTTTAAATTAATAAGAGTAGCTTAGAACATTTTCGTTTCTATTCCACATATAACTCTTTATGGACACTAATAAACTGATTTATTTCTAAATAAATTCTGGTTGTTTTATTTTGTTAAAGCAGGCCAGAACTTATTTAAAATTCATTTGACTCATGTGGGAACTCCTTCAAGATTTTAGTACAACAGTTTAACAAAATATTAAAACCATAAATCTTCACTCTTAATAAAGAATCCTATTCCTTGACCATGACCCAAGCCATCTGTCACTGAATCATCTGCCAAACTTTTCTTTGCCAACACCAGCCTTCCTGCATAGCCTTAACACTTCTTCCCATCAGGCCTTGAAAAAAAGTCACTCATCATTCAAGTAACCTTCTGCTTGCCCCTTCTCCACCTCTTCTGCTTCCTCTGGTGTTTATCTACAGCTAAAAAGGCAGATCACATAGAATTCATTTGATATCTGTCTTCCTCATCATTGAATTCGCAATCTATAGCACAGCTGAACTCATTTGTAAGTCCTTGATAAAAGGACCCAAGATACATAATTAACAACAGCAATGAACTCCACTGTTCATGCCACAAAAATTACTCTTAAAAAAAGTATTTAAAACAAAAAAAAAGGCCCATAATTATAGTTGTTTTCACAGGAAAAAATTTTAGGGCTATCAACCTAAAAACAGTTTTCTATTCAATTATGGTATTAGTATGCATAATTCTCTTGATTCTAAATAGAACTCATTTTCTATTTGACACAGATGTTTGTAATAGATATGCTCTTATTATAACTGTCCCACTCACTCAGAGCAGTTGTGTTATCTAAAGGGATTACTAAAGAATGTAGATTTTTACAGTTCAGTGGGCAACAATAAAAAAGAATGTTGTCATGGCCTCTTACAAAATCTACTGAAGTACTGAGTGATAGACACTTAATTTTTTCTAATCAGTACATTAATATTCAAATTCAAACAGAAAGTTCTCTCAACTACCCTCTATTCAATCAACTTGCCCACGATTCTGCTCTGAAACATACTGATTGATCCTCAAAGAGTAATCTAGTCTCATAATGAACATACAACAAAACACTTCTGCTTCCACACTGGCTTACTTTCCTACCAAGAAGTTGTTGTGTTTACTCACAAATCTACTTACATTAACTGTACTTATTAGTTTAGGTATATAATGTAAGTATAAAATAAATACTGGAACTTGACTACAAAATAAAAACGGCTTCTTAGCAAAATAACTTGAATGTCTTAAAGTTTATAAAGTTAGGATAGTTTTAGGGGGAAAAAAACCCCTGGTTGTTAAGTGAATTAAGGAAGGAATCTAAAAGATGAGCTTATAAGATCTAGACATGTTATTTAACAAGCATCTGGATTCTTGCTCCATTTTAAAGAAAGCAAAATGGAAACTTGTAGAAAAATCAAATGAACCTTTCTCAACTACTTATCCTTTAACAAAGAATTAGCAAATTAACCTATTTATAGGTTTTTAAGTTAAAAAACTTATATAAATGATGAATATCAAACACTCAGAAAAGCTTCTTCTGGAGTAACCAGTATCATTATCTCTAATAAAGTGTCTAAAATTAACACATGCACTGAAATTTCATTACACATTCAAGGTAAAATGAATTGTTCTTTTTAATACTATTTTTCCCCCAAGATAAATGTTAAACAAAAAATATCCCCTTAAGTCTTCTTAAAAGCAAACAGTTTGGGGAGTTCTCGTGGCCTAGAGGCAAGGAGCTGCAACTACAATCCCAGAGGCACACGGTTCGAATCCACCAGATGCTCTGTTGGGAACAGGAGGGACACTCTCCTCCTGTACCAGTCAGATTTGACGGTATACTCACACAAAAATTTAAAAAAAAAAAAAGCAAACAGTTTAGCTTCATAAGTGAAGAATGTCACTGTCTCTTAATGAAAGGAACAACTCAGAAAAGGGGGGTGAGAACTGCTAAAAACTCAAGGGACATCATCAGTGTCATCAAACTGTACATGGAGACATTGAACTATATGTGTTCCTCTGTCTATATTTGCAACAGTAAGAAACAAACCATTAAAAAGAAAACTTCAGAGCATTCTAATGCCTAACCGAAAACAAGATGATGATTTGTTCTGCTCACCATTCCTCCCCACAGTGCACACTGGTGGCAAATACACTTCTTGCAAGTCCAGCAGAAGACACTAAGTTTCTCATGGTGGTTTTCACATCTGTTTACCGGGGAAAAGAAAAATAGTTAAACAATAAATGAAAAGAAAATTAATTCATTAAAACTGGAACATAATTTCTAAGTTTGAGCAAAGTAAAAGAGGTCAGGCAATTTTAAACCATCACATCTCAGGTAATATGTATCTATAAAATATACTCTATGTGTTCTGTGAAAAGAGCTAAAGAATTACATCTAGAAACATCTTTTCTAAAGTATTATATTATTTGTCTACGAACACTCTAAAATCACACGCAAAATGCAGACTAGTTTCTAAACGAGGTAAAAACAAAAAAATAGCATCACTATAATTCTGTCTTTCTACATTTAGGGTAAATGCTGAATTATCAGATGTTGAGTTACAAAACAGAATAGTTTAAAAAAGCATTTCATTTAAAAAAAAGGCACTTCACTGATGGATAAGCTTCAAAATATATCTAAATAAGTCTATATTTTATACATCTTATTATAAATATAAAATCAGAAATTAGTAAGTAGTAGAAACAAGATCTGGAAACTATATATGATTTCTAAGCTACCAAATTTAGAATATAGCTTTTATAATACAGAATAGTCATTAAAATATCTAAATCAACTGCCTCTCTCTCTATATATATTAAGTATACCAAAGACAAGTTAGTAAGCACTGAGAGGCAAAGAAACTAGCTGACTAAAACTGGGGCAGTCCATTCCCTTTACAAAAAGCTCTAATATAAGAAATCAATCAATTAAATTATAATAAGCTCTGGTGGCACTGGCTGTGGTAAATGTGCTGATAACACAAAGAGCACGAACTTTTGGCAATTCTAATCCACCAGTGGCTCTGAGGAAGAAAGACGGACAATCTTCTCCCTTACAATTTGCAGTCCCAGAACTCAATGGAGAATCAATTATGAATTGGTTCCAACTCCATGGCAATGACTGAGCAAGTAAGTGAATCCACACAGTGACACTTATCACCCTCTGAAAAGATAAAAAATGTCTTAAATGTTCTTCCCTATGTTATTTATATTAGGGAGGGGCAGAACTGATTAAGTATTTTTGATGAGATATCAATAAAGGTAGAAAATCCAAATACTTCACTGACATCGAGTCACTTCTTACTCACTGATCCTCTATTGGGTTTCTGAGGCTACAAATCTTTGCAGGAGAATGACTATCCCTCTTTGTCCCTCTGCCCTTCTGCTGGCCTTTCAAGACAGATTCCACACATAAAGTGCTAAGGCTCTTTCTATAAATCTAGAAATAATAAAAATCTTTAGAAGAAGAAAAAAATCTTTAAAAGCCCAGTTTAACTACAATGCTAAGTAGTAAAAACAACCTGGGGCTGGGGGGTGTGCGGGAGGATTGTGTACCAATAAAGGAGTTTTTCTTTTGCTTTTCAAGGAGAGGAGAGAATGGGGGTGGGGGGAAGAAAAGTGCAACAATGAATGGAATTCCAAAATCTCTGTAGATGTTCATTGAAATTTAAAAAAAAACAAAAACAAAACCTGGGGCATTTTTCTGTTTCTGCATTATCATTCTGTATCACCATAATTAAACCTTTTTCTAATTCCTTATAGGAAAACGCTGGCTGGTCTAGCTCTTAGGGAATTGCACTATAATAACAAAGGCCTCCCTGATGGTTCAAAATCCACCAGCAACACCACAGAATAAAGCCAGGAAATCTTCTCGTGGGTGATTTACAGCCTTGGAAACCTGCAAGAGTAACATGTGAGTAGATTCGAACTCAACTACAATAAGAGAAAAACTTTCTTAGTATGATGAATAAAGAGCAGTATTGGAGATTGCTTATGTTCCTTTAAGTTCTAAATTCTTGCTTTAACATGTTATAAATGTAGAGAAAGTAGTATAGCTTAACTTCTAAGCATTCTAAGATCCAAGAAATTGCTTTCGTTTTCTTACTATCAGGGAATGAAGCAACCAGTGGCTCCAAGGGAGATGGGTCATTTCTTCCCCAAGGAAGAAGGGCTGCATTGAGTCATATGCACTAGATGGCAGTGAGTGAGTATACATGGCAGAAATGCACGCCCGTTATAAAACTATTGCTTAGTTTCTTTATCTGAAAAAGCCAATTATTGCTACTTTATTGTATCTTCCCTGTGCTTCTTTTTCTGTGCCCCCATTGCACTGCTGCAGCTGTATTCTTCATGGCAGTCTCTACCAAAAGCCCTACCACACTTCATTGTCATGTGTCTTCACTTTATTAAACTTTATGCATAAAGTTGCCTTTGTTTCCCATATTTAGCACAGCACTAAGTGTATATGTGTATGACATTAAATAAATGTTTGCTTAATAAACAATATAAAAAAGATTTGGCCATCAAGGCTATTATCTAAAAGACTTTGGAAAAATGAAATTTTGAAATTTTAAAATTAAAAATACTGTTATACTTACATTTATAAATAACTATAAAAACTACCAATATAATGTCATTAAAATAGCACACAGCAGTGTTGAAATCTACTGAGTATCTGAACAAAGAAACTGAGGACATACTTGTCCTTTTCGTTTTCTTCATGTTTAGTGAGGCTGCAAAGCTGAAGCGTATCAAGCTGTTGTGTTACTTCCTCAGCCCAGCGGCAGTTTACTAGTTCTCGAAGCTGAAGTGGAGCACTGAGAGGGAAACACATACACAGACATTAAAAAGCAACTAGAGATTATATTTTAAATCTCTTACATTTTATGTCTCCAAATAGAATTCACTATTACATGTATGTCACATCATTTTTCTAATAATTACAAAGACATAATGGAAAGAATATCATACTAACATCTTTTAAATAAAAAGCAAATACTGGTAAATCAGATTACAGATTGAGTTCTCAACTTCTTAGTATGAAGTAGTGTTCAATATGGCAGCCATTAACCACAATCAATTTTAATTTTTATTAATATTAAATAAAAGGCAAAATTATTTCTCATTCACTTTAGTCACATTTTAAGAGCTAAATAGCCACATGCAGTTTATGGCACATGCACAGAGCAGATACAAACATTTCCATAATCACACAATATTCTATTTGATAGCAATGATCTTACAAGTAAAAATAGAGAGGAGAAGGTGAAAAACAGATAAAAGATATGAAAAATTATATACATAAAAAAGAAATAAGTGTTACAATTATCAAAAGGAGTTTTGGTGGCATAGTATATTTTTATGTTGGGCTGTGGGGAGCTCTGGTGGCCTAGTGGCAAGGAGCTGCAACTACAATCCCAGAGGCGCACGGTTCGAATCCACCAGATGCTCTGCCGGGGAAGGAGGGACAATCTCCTCCTGTACCAGTCAGATCTGATTTGACGGTACACGCACACAAAAATTTATGTTGGGCTGTTAACCAAATGGTTGGCGGTTCAAATCCACCAGCCTCTCAGCAGAAGACAGGCAATCTCCTGCCATAAAGATTCAGAAACATGATGGAGGATCACGTGAGTGGGAATCTACAACAGCAATAAACTTAGTTTTGATTTAAGATTACCAAACTGTGAAACTCAAAAGATTTTGACATTCTGCTGTGGATTCAATTTGCTTTTTGCTGCTTATTAACAACAAGATAAGTAAGCTAAGAAATTACAATGATTTTATAAAAAGAAGGCAAGGGTACTACATATCAAACAATGTAATGCATGCTACATAATTCTAAATCACATAAATAATAAATTAGCCTCAAATTTACAATCTAGACAGATACTTTTCCCTTTGTCTTCCTGAAGAAAAATTATGGCAGACTGCAGAAAGAACTTGTCTTATGAATCATTCTGACTCCAGCTTCCTATTATTGTCCAAATTCACAAATAATCCGAAGATAACTCTCACCGGCAATGAGGACACTGTGCTCTCTGCTCTGTCAGCCAACGCTATGGAGCAAAAATATACAGAGATTTCATTTAATAAATATGTTAATGTTGAAACATTAACTATGTATGTATAAAATGGAATTTGTTTAACTGCCTTGCAAGTTGCAGAATCCATTTCAACAAGCACTTATCGATCACTTTTATGTTTATTTATTTCGTGTGTGTGTGTGTACCATCAAATTGGATCTGACAGGTACAAGAGGAGATTGCCCCTCTTTCTCCAGCAGAGCATCTGGTGGATTCGACAATCACTTTTATTGAATTACTACTCTACACCATTGATATCTGTTTTGTTATGGGCAAAATCTTGAATGTTCCAGGAAGCATTTAAAAAAACAAAAAAAAAAATGGAAGAAATACACAGAATGACTGTATCAAAAAGAACTGTCCAACACGGAAAACTTTCAGGAAGTAACATATGATCAAGAGCCAATGGGAATGGAGAAAGAATTTCAAGATCCACTGAAAGAATTAGCAAAAAATAAGGTCCCAGGACTGAAGGAATACCAACTGGCATATTTCAACTAACAGATGCAGACCTATATGTGCTCAGCAGTCTCTGCTAGAAAATTTGGAGGAAAGCTGCATGGCCAACTGAATGGAAGAATCCATATTTGTTCCCATTCCTAAGAAAGATGCTCTAACAGAATGTGGAAATTATCAAATAATATCATTAATATCACTGAGAATTATTTAAAAATAGCTACAATAACACATACACAGAGAACTATCAGAAGTTCAAGCTAGATTTAGAAGAGGCTGTGGCACCAGGAAGATCACTGCTAATGTCAAATGAATCCTGGAAGACAGCAAAGAATACCCGAAGAATGTCTGTTTGTGCTTCACTGACTTGCAAAGGCATCTGACTGTGTGGATCATAACAACTTACAGACTAACACTGAGAAGAATGGGAGTCCCAGGGCACTTAATTAATTATGCTCAAGTAAAACCTATAACTAGACCAAGAAGCTGTTGTGCAAACAGAGCCAAGGAAGACTATATGATTTAAAATTAAGAAAGGTGTGGTCAGGGTTATATCTCTCCATACCTATTCAATCTGTATGCTGAGCAAATAATTTGAAAAGCTGTGAAAAATGTGACTTCAGGATTGGAGACTCATCAATAATCTATGTTATGCAGATAACACAACCTTGCTTGCTGAAAGTGAGGAGGGCTTAAAGTACTTGCTGAAGAAGATCAAAGAAAATAGCCTTCAATATGTATCGCACCTCAACAGTAAGAAAACAAAAATTCTCAGCACCGAACCTACAGACAATAACATGATAGAACAAACACCCTTGGGACCACCAGTCAGGAGTTCAGGAGACATCTAAAGCTTCAGAAGCCCAAAGGAAGGTCACTAAGAGTCTGGATGGTAAGCTGCACTGCAATCCCAGAAGTACGCAGTTCAAATCCACCAGATGCTCTGCTGGAGAAGGAGGGGCAACCTCCTCCTGTACCAGTCAGATCTGACTTGGTGGTACACACGTGAAAAATAATAAAAATAAAATTTTTTAAAAAAATGTTTTTTTTAAAAAAAAGGTCTGGATGGTAGGGAGTCTTCTGAGTCTAGACGGCAGAATTAGCCAGCAGTGAGTTTTTTGAGTGAGTTGAGAAAAACATACACCAACAGTTTATCATTTATCAGATACATACAATTCAGTGGAACTGATTATATTCTTCATATGATGCAACTTTTCTCATCCTTCTTTCTCCAAAATAACATAAATTCACTTCCCTTAAACTCCTTATCTAATCTTTGGAGGATCTACTTTCATCCTGTATCTCAAAAAACTCACCTGCCATGGAGGTGCAACCAACACAGAGCTGACCCTCCAAAGGGTTTTTAGAGGTTGTAAACTGCAAACAAAATAATTGCACGTCTTTCTTTCATAAAGTACAGCTTCTAGTGGATTCAAACCAGAGACAGATACAGCCTTTGGGCTAGCAGTACAACTCCCTACAGACTATGCCATCAGAGTCCCCCTTGATCCTATATAGATAGTTCTTAAGCCAAACTACAATTCCATTTTAAGGAGACATCAGGGGATATTTTTTTACTTAAGGTTTCACTATTATTTCAGGGCAAGAGTTTCAGAGGTTCATGAAGACCATACAGCTTCAAGAAATCCAGAGTAGAAGAGAATTTCAAATTATAATTTGTATTTTCTCCCTGAGGCTCAAGATCACATTGATGTTTTTTATAATGAGTTTTATAATTAGTTTAACTCTCTGGTGTCTGTATTAATTATACTACTTATAGAAATAGCAGGCAATCTGCCATCTCTCTCTCATTATCATCCTTACAAGAACAAATTTTGAAAGGGAGAGAATTCACGCCATTATAGGTGTTAAGAAGACATTCTCTCAAGTAGCCGCTGTTGTGTGCCATGGAATCATTCCAACTCAGTGATGGTAGAGATAAAATAGAATTCCACAGAATTTGCTAAGCTGGAATCTTCACAGGTACCCTGCCGGTAACAATAGTTAAAATACTCATCTGCTAACCAAAATGTCATCATTCAAACCCATCAGATTCTCCATGGAATAAAGATGTGGCAGTCTTTTCCCATAATGACTTACAGTCTTAGAAATCCTATCAGGCAGTTCTGCTCTGTCCCAAATAGTTACAGAGCAACAGGTAGTAGCAGCTATATAGTAATCTCCATGAGATTAAATCACAAAGTCTCCTACTGCTGCATGGATGTGAACCATCAACTAACTTACAAAAAAAAACCCACAAGGAATTTAAGGCATTATAAATTCTTTCATAAAAAAAATCAAACTAAATTTTACATATATACATAAATCAGAGCTAAAATACAAATGAGCATGAAGTGTCTCACAGGTAGTTTGATAATCTTAACATCTGCATAACTTAGTTTCCTCTCCTAGTGCAAACATTTCAGAATAAAATAACATTTTATTAAACCTCAATTTCTATTAACTTTATCCTTTACATTAATATTGACTCTAAAACAGTGTTGTGTATGAAATCATACATAAAGGAGATGCTAAGACTTTCTGAATATCTTTTGAGGTCAAGAGAAGGGCAGGAAAGCTTTATAGCTTTTAGTTGTCCGGCAAACAGACTCCGAGATAATCAACTATATACATTTTCATCACGGTAACCCCAATCCATTATTTCTCTCTATCTCTTCCTACTTGTCAGAAAGGATGTGAACTTTATAGAGCACCGTGGGCACAGTTAGAGAGAGAAACTTCCCAGAAATATCCACAACTCATGAAATTGGTTTACTGGGTTGAACGGATTAGTACTACAGTCTTGTGAGCTATCAGAGGCACTTGGCATAACCTACCTAGTTCACAAAGTTAAATGTCAATACTATAGACTGATTAGTACTTGAAATTTTAAAAGTTTGTGTGTGGCCATCTAAGGACACAACTATCGGTCTCTACTTGTCTGAAGTAAAAAAAATACATACATACATAAAAGAAGCCAAAAATCTTAAGGAAGAAACTAATCCATAAAGACTAATAGCACACATGAATTATGGCCTATTCTAACCTGAGATAAGAAGTAGATGGTGCCGGGCTACCACTCCAAATGTTCTTCCCAGAGACACAATGGAAAAAAATCTCAGTTAAAAAGGGAGGAAAATGTACAACAAAACTCAAAGTCATAAAAAGGAACAGAGTTACTGACTTGACAAAGACTTGGAGGACCCCTGGGACTATCATCCTAAGAAACTTTCTTTTATTTAGAACTCAAACCATTCCCAAAGATCAAAGTCAGCCAAACAACAGACTGGTTTATAGAATTACAATCATCCATGAGTAAAGTGACCCTTAAATTAACTATAAGAGGCCAAATGATCAACAAGCAAGGAAGAGTGTGTTGCTAGATAGACAAGACTGAAAAAAAAAATAAGAAGAAAGCTGATGTAATTTGAAAATTGTAACCAATGTCTCAGAAAAATCTGTATATAAACTGTCAACTTGGAACCTAATTCACTATGTAAACATTTACCTAATAAAAATAAATACACAATTGAAACAAGACCAACAATGGAGGGAAAAAAATAACAACAATAAATTTTATGTTAAGCCAAATAATTAGCTCAGAAATAAAATTTCCAAGAAAACCTTAAATGGCAATAGGATTAAAGGTGAGGGTGAGAGGAAAGGTTACTTTGCATCAAAGAAAATACATACTGGAAACAAAATAAACAAAGCCAATAGATAAATGATTCCTGAGTTCTGAAAACCCTTGAGCATTTTCTTCTTTCACTCCCTGAGCAACAATGAGATTTAGGTCAAGGTTTGTTCCCTGGTATACCTGACCACATCACTCTTCTGCCAAAGTCACAGCTTTCCTTCCAAACAGCCAAACCTCACTTCAATAGCCTCACCTCCTGCTGTACCTACCTAAGGATCCAGCATGGTAGCCTTTTAAAATGTTTTACACTATCTGCCAGAGATTCTTCATCAGCTCTCTTCACCTGGATTACTCCCACTATCCATTAGATTTCTGTAGAGTGTATGTCAGGCCTTCATTTTACTTGGATCCATAATCAGCACTCATAGAAACAGGAGTCAAGACATCAAAAGATATATTGCACTGGACAAATCTGCTGTCAAGGGCTTCTTGACATTCTAAAGATGTCAGTTTAAAGACTGAGGTGCACCTGATTCAAGCCATATGCTTCATAAGCTTCATTTGCATGTGAAAGCTGGACAATGAATAAGGAAGAGTAATGAATATGCCTCAGACTGTCACAAGAACAAATCTTGGAGAAAGTACAACCAGGGTGCACTTTAGCGGCTAACACAGTTAAGCTTCATTTCACATACTTTGAGTGTGTTGTCCGGGGCCAGCAGTCCTTGGAAAAAGATACCATGGTTAGAAAGTCAAGAGTCTGTGAAAGAGAGTAAGATCCGCAATGAGACAGATTCACATAACAGGTGCAACAGTGACTAGACCTGAGTTTGGTGGAGATTTTGAAGATGGCACAAGATAGGGCAAGGTTTCCTTCAAT